TGTACGCACTCCAGGTATCCAATTGGTCTGATGCACTACATCTATTACTCCAAAATGTCAATACCGTACCAACAATGGACGAAAGCAATTGTAAAATCCCCATGTCATGTACCGGCATGATGATGAATGACCGAAAACAAGTGTCAATGCGACTTTTCAATTTTAAAATCAGCGAGACTGGGAACACCAAACGATAATCTTAGGGCGTTAAAATATAAAGCTGAAACTGGAAATAGACGTCGCTACATAATTATGCAACTACGGATTTCATCTTTGAAATAAGAGGCTTTTAAATCTCATTTGGATAGAAGGGAAGCTAGTCTGTGACCAAAAAGCGGTAACAACCTGTACAGGAGGAAGTTAGACGTTCTTTGGCTAACTGAAACTGAAAAGTAATCCACACGGGTGCTGACTACATGCTCACTGACTCAACTTATCACTATATGCCCAAGTATGCGGTCGTACCCTGACAACTTAGACGCGTGAGTTCGGCACCAGAAAAATATGGCTGCGGCCGGAACTTCTTTTAATCAGTGCCAATTTAGTTATATATCCTCATACAACGGATACTTTGCAGCATTGAATTCTCATTCACCTACTGGTCCACAGTCTGGCTAGTGATGTAACTGCACATGACAGCAAAAATCTTGTGATCAATACGCAACTAGAAAATAATCGTTACAAACATCAGCTGATGGGTCTCCAAAACGCCATGAAATTCATCAATTTAAGTTAGGGATCGATGTTCATCAGATGCCAAAGTCTGTGATCTAAGTTACAAAAACGCAGAAACGGTCGCGCGTCCGTATGTCGAAAAAATAACTAAAAAGAGTTGAATTCTACGGATAAAGGAAAAACTACATAGCAAAACAAGGATGTGGGCGAAGTGATACAGACTCACACCTTTTTGCAGATATTTAAGCCTCTTGTCTGAAGCAATAATGCATGCAGCTTTACGCAGCTCGGTGGATCATAGCATGCTTGCAGACTTTCGTTGTAGTTATTCCTGATACAATAGAAAACTAGAAATGCAACAGATAGAAAGATGGCGGTGGGGATCTTGGTGATGCTGGA